GCTCGTTCATTTATCACACGACGTTCGCAATATGTCGCATCGCGCCCCGATATGACATGCCACACACACACACACACATACACCCGCCCCGATATCTTTCAAAACATCGTGTCTAATCCCATAAATATATCGGCGACGGAACTCGCGACGGCGCGCGCATGCCTCGTATGAGTTATTATATCGCGGATGATGAATATTCATCGGCGCGCCGCGCCATTTCCGGCGTCCGGTGGATCGCCGAGAAACGCGCCGGCGAAATACCGGAATGAAATACCCCGCCCGTAATGAAACCGCCGTCCGCCCGCATTTCTCCGGTGCATCTCGCGCGCGCCCCCCCCCCCTCCGTTTTTCCCCTCTTTCCACTTGCCTTACTGTTCCTATTTGTTTCTTCGTTTCTTTCGCTCGGCCGCGCGCGATTTGCAACCTTTGCGAGCGAGAATAATTGACGCGCGTGGTTGCGCCGATCGATCGCCAATACCAGCTCGCGCGATCGTAAAACAAATTGTTGCATCGCCGCGCCGTCTTTTCGCGCGCCCGCGAAATCGCGAAATCGCGGCCGCGTTTTTCCTCGCAATCATCCGCACACACGCACTCTCGCGGAGATATCTGGCCGGCGTAATCTCGCGTCACGGTATACGCACATGTGTGCCGCACTTTGTGGGCGACCTCGTAGGAAAGAAGACGATCGTCACCCACTACGAGCAGTGGGTATCTCGCTCCTTCCGAATCGCCGCGCCGCGCGCGCCGCCGCCGCGTTTTTCCCGTCGGGGTGCGTTCGCGGCTTCGTTCGCCGAATTTCCGCGTTGACCGCTCTCCCCTGTCCAAGCTTGCATTTTTTTTTATTTTCAAATTTTGCTTCCAATTTTTTTATTTTCAATTTGATGCCTCCAAGCCTGCATCAAGCCTACATTTTGATTGTACTTAACCCACAACTATGCCGAGAGGTTCTCTTAAGAAACAATTGGCAAATTATATTCCTTTTTCGCCATTTAGAGGGGCTGATTCAGAGGACTTGAGATTTTATGCAAATTACATCTCCATTGACCCTCCAGGATCTACGGAGGTGTTAGACTGTTTAGATCGCAAATAGGGCTGAAATGTTTCGACTCAAGTTGCCCTGCGATCGTGAAAGATTTTCTCCCATTTTCTGTCATTTTTCCGCCGCTGGGGCACAGCTTTGAGTGCGCTTTGCCTTCACCTTGTCACACCGCGTTGCGCGAGCGGAAACACAGTGAAGCAACGAGGCATAAATCTAGGTTGTTGGCGATTCTACGCAATCGAGCTCCACTCTATGCGCAACTCCCACGACTTTATGCCCCGATTTTTACATCTAATTTCGTTATCGCGTGACGGTAGACTGAAGGGACGCGGAAAATCACCGAGAAAGATGTCATTAATAAAATTAGGTTGTTCGAGGAAAAAATTCAAGTGCTTCGATGAACGGATGTGAGTCACCGCAAGCTGACATCCGATATCCGTCCAGCTTGAGGTATTTTCGCGCGAAACGTAAAGGGGAGGAGAAATGCGCTTCTTGACAAATTCACGCCTGAGAGACACGATGCAAATTTTTCTCATATTTCACACCTGCGTCCTCGTTGTTTTCAACGTGCTGCGCTGATGCGACTTTTTTTTTACCTCTGATTATAAACAAGCTCCTATCGTTCGTTCCTGCCTATTTTGCCCCGTGAGTCAGTTGTTTATGAGGTTTATGAGGCGGTTGAATTCATTAATTACGCGAATTACACTGGGCGAAAAGCACGTGACGGCGCCGGCCGGAGATAAGAATCAGAAGCGAGAAGACGCGCGAGTCTCGTTCGGCGAAAAAAGGAATTCTCAAAATGGCAGGACGTGCTCTTTTAATTAATATTAAAAGAGCACGTCAATCCGCCGTGTCGTGACCGAAGCCGCGCCATTGACCTGTCTCCTCGCTCGCATTCATTCGCGCTAGTCGGTACGAATACGCGATCGCCCCGCCGAATATAACGCTCGAGCTCGCAGCGTCGCCGCGGCGCGACTTTCAGCCCATCAATTACACATCCCGCGTTATTGCATTACGACGCGGCTAAGATAATAATCCGCACGCCCAGAATTGCACGTCGAAATGTCGAGCGTAAAACGCGAGCCCACATGTGCGCGCGGCACGTTATTAGAAAATAGATCGAAAATCGTGATAACGTAATCCGTCACATGTTTCCCACCGGCCGCGGCGATGGAAACGGTACCGGCTGTCACGCGCTCGTGTAAAAATCCATCCCGGCAAGCGGTAAAAACCGCCAAGATAAAGAAAAAAGCAAAGACCCAGAATTCTGTGAGTGAACGTTCACTTTGTACGGGCGGGCGGGCGGGCGCGACCGCGGCTCGCAGCAAATTTCCAATTGGGAAATATTCCCTCTCTCTTTCTTTGTAGTTGTTGGGCGCTCGCGCGTGATCACTGCAGAGTACTCAAATTCTAACACATCCCTCCGAGGGTGCCGCTCGCCTTGGCATTGGTGATCGGTGAAAGAAAGCCGCGTTGAAAAAGCAGCTGGGTCGACGCAGAAGGTGGCCGTGGCGACGGCTCTCACCTTGCCTTTGATACAGAAATCGCGAGCGGACGAGCGCGAACCGCAAGCGCGCTCGAGTTGCACCGATCGCTCGTACAATTGAGATAACCTTTATCCGCGCGATTATCCGCCGGCTCGGCGAGCCGGCACCGTAATTGCGCCCGAGGAAACGGTGTCCTTCGACGAACTGTCCGACTAGCGTCCGACGCTTCGAGGAGATCGTCGAGAGGTTCGTAAATCGGGCGTAATGATTTCATCAAGCTTTTACGTAAGGGACGATCTCGAGGGGATAGGGGACGAAGAAGCGGCTAGGCGAATCGTCCCGTCGCTCCTCCTTTCTCGAGTTTGCGCAAGGACTGCGAAATTTACGGCGTGAAAACGGATTTTCGAAGCGGGCCCGCTTCGACGTGGTTTGCGTCACCCGGCGCGGACCCCGACGCGCGTCCTCGTAGCTCTCCGCGCGCTAATCGAATTGTGACACTGATTCCCTTGCGAAACTGCCGATTGGCCCGAGATAGAGATTAGACGCGCGAATGTTGTGTGCCCGGTAAAGATTCGGGACTCGATGAAAGGCGTTCATGCGAAAGGGAACCAATTGCGACGATCGCAAGGATTTTCATGCCGGCGCGACGGAACGAGATTGAAAGTGTCGCTACGTAACGACAAGTCACGGTGAAGCGAGGAGGAAGTGAGTCCATTCGACGAGTTATTTCGGCCGAAATCCGCCGCCGCCGTCGGAAGTTAGACGACGGATCCGAAGAATGTACGTCCGCTTGCATAAAAGTCCTGCGAGGGAGCCTCGCCTCTTGAGAAGTGTGTTACAGGGTCGTAAATTTCTTTGGGCTCTCGCGGTGATAGTGTCATTAGAAGCATGGTCGGCGATCGATCAGTCGTAAAAATTGTCACGCACCTTCGTCACGGGCGATATAACTTGAAAGATCAGGGAGCGCAGGATCAGACGCGGAGGGATATAATTTCGACAGCGCGTTTTACAGCGCGCAATTTTCAACGGCGACGCACGGCCGTGCGTCCGCACTTACCGCTTAGAGTCTATCTCGATAATTTAAAGCCTATACTTAGTATCATTATCGGTGTAGTGTCATTATTTAGCGCCTGACGAGACAAATCCGCGTGGTCTTTGCCGCAAAATACGGACAATTATCGTAATGACAGTCATTTTTCGGACACATGTGATAGGCGCGAAATCGCTCGCGCGAGCGCTTTGACTTCAACGTCCGCACTTACAAGCAAATCTCGGACAATCGATTTGTCTCCAATTTTTTTACAGTTATCTTTTATGTCAAAATATGGGGAGAAATCTGTTATCACTTTTAGCTTAAATTCATTTTTTCAATTTAAGTACATTATTTTATATATATTTAAAACAATATTTCTTAAAAACATATATATCTGATTTTTTGAAACTTCCACACACATGTCGCCGCGATTATGAATCAGAACCATTTTGTAAAATTAAAAATGACGGATCTAATATGGCCGACGTCATTATTGAAAAAATGTTCAGTTTTACGCTACATTCGACGTTGGGTAATCTTTCGGTTCCACTATCCAGCAAACAAGCTCATTTTAACGTAAAAATCTGGTAAAAAATAAACCAAAAAAGAATGAACAAAAAACTTGAGAAATTTCGAAAAAATTGAAAAAATTAATCCAAGCCAGAAATGACAACAGATTTCCCCATATCTTGACACCAAAAACAACTATAAAAAATTTTCGAAACGAATCGGCGTCCGAGCGTTCCCCGAGGCCCGTCTGTTAGCCTGCTCGCTCGCATTGCGACGAACCCACCCACAGTCAGGCAGCTGTTACCTCGCATGAGAATCCAGCTGATTAGACGCCTCGCGCGGAAACGCGCTTACTTTATTATAATTAACAACCAGCGCGGATTTATGCGCGAAATGAGCGAGATGTACATCTTGTATCCATCTTTGATCTGGATCTATGAGAATTGCTTGCCGGGGATTAGCTGGACGTGCGAACGTTCGTTAGGAAAAAATCTTCCTGAGCGTCCTATATTTTTGCAGTAACAATTGCGATATTTCGTAATATCGTGCCACACAAGAGTGCGGAATTAAAAATATATACGAGTGTTGGAAACTCGTTGCTTTCGTTTTGCGCACGTCTCGCGTTGATTTGCGCAACGAGCTATGCAATTTATAAATTAAAATGAGAGATTGTTATGACTGAAAGTTTTCACAAGTATCGCTTATCCACACAGATAACATAGACCTGTCGTCTTACATTAGTTTTGCGCGAAATAACCTTATTAAACAATGACGTAATTATACATCGCTTGACGTTATCGTGATTTCTTGTCACGAAAAATCTGATTTCGCGGCTATCAAGGGACACAGTTTTAAACCTTCGACCTTTGCGACCTTTGCGACACATCTCGCATCAGGCAGGATGCAAATTCATAAACTTTTTTTATTGCAGATCGTTCTAGTCGTATTCGTCATGGTCATCCTGGCGAGCGTCTCGGCGCAGAATTTCAGGCATTTCTTCCCGAGATTCAATTCTTACGTGCAGTCCGCCGCGATAATGAGGGATCCAAGATCGAACAGAGGTAAATTATCATTATTGCAACCGCAACGAACAAAACAAGAGTTTCTTCGGAGCAAATGATTTGCCCCGTCAGAGAAGATTAATGGGAGGTAGCGGAGTAATATTTCTTCCTGAGAATATGATTGCTACAAAAGCGTTATTATTATTATCATTAATATTTTCTCACGAAGTGAAATTGTCCGAAACGAGGGAGGGAGGGTATACTCGATGTTGGCTTTTCTAAAGTAACCTTTGCACTTTTGTAAGCGCAGCTGCGTCAATTTGTATAATGCGAAGATGATTTGTCAGCGTATCGTTACTCTCGAGCCGACCGTTCGCCGCGAGACAGAATTAGAACTTCCTTTTTTGTTCACACCCTATTTGGTAGACTTCTCAAAGTGCTCGCTGAGATTTACCGGTACGCTTCGGAAGCTTCGGAACCGTCTTCCCTCTATTTCCCTCTGCCTGCATATCCTTCATATTATCAGGAAGCCGGGAATCGTGCAATTACGACAATTTGTCATTACGTTTTTCTCTATTCGCGTACTATTTGCAGCGGAGAAACGGCCTCGTTTCATTTGCAAAATAACGGTAGACATTCCGATATTGCCCGCTCAACATTCCACGATCATTCGAAAGTTCTTCCTCGAAGCGAGAGAAGCGACATCGGCGCGCTCGGAAATAGATTCTCGCGCGCATGCTTACGATGCTATCGAAACACGTAACAACGCGTAATTATGACGATCAACATTTCACACACACACACTTATTATCGCATTAATATGAAAAACCTTGGCACGGTACGTTGCACTTGCAAGAAGATAACAACCGAACTCCTTGAAGAATATCGCCTCTGTATGCTTATGCAATGCACAAGCATGCACAAGCTTACAGCTTCTGTTTGTTATTTTCTACCTGTCTTTTCACCTTTTCTCCTCTGATTAGCCAATCATTTCGAATTATTCCGAGAAACTTGTGAGATATCTCGATAATCGTAATTTAACCGGTGACATTTTCGGTCATGCGCGTGGAAATGCTTTCTTTTCAGAGGATTATAATTGCAACGATCCATTAAATCCGTAATAGCGCTCGCTGACGTTCATTGTACGCTTGACAACGTAACAAAGACTGTTTTTATGACGGCTATGTTCGGCGAGCCGTAAAGATCCGAGATACAAAAGGAATGCTCCGCGGAGTATGCTGTGTCGTATAATCAAACGATTGATTGCAATCGAGAAGAACGAGCTCGAACGATCGAGTCGTGTGGTGCCTCGCTGTTAATGCAGAACCTACTTTGCCCAGGCGGTGTGGAACTTTTACCGGAACAGAGCGGGTCTAGCTAGAAATTTGCTCGCGAGCACGAGTACGCGTAACGCGAAAGGAAAGGCGAGCGCCAGCCGTTCGTTCACGTAGCTGGAACATCGCGAAGCGCGCAAGATTCTCGCTGATGCAGCAACGATATCAAACAACGGGCGGCTTCGTCACACATCGATATCGTTTGCAGAGTCAACCGCATCTCTCTCATACCGCGCGATTTTCCATCGCCACCGACCGCAAACTTGCACTTTTCACGCGACTGTATACATCACACTGATTGCACCAAATATCGTTTGTTAGTCTCACAGTAGTACATTTCTTTGCGCTTAACATAATGATCCGACAGCAACGTCATCAAAAGGAGAGCGCGAGTACTTCGCGTTGTCCGTTTGATTTCCAGAGTTAATTACGTGTTGCTTGTTGCTTACGTGACGTACGACGAGTTTGCAACCCATTCGTTATTATGCGTTATTGTGCGCATAACGGCATTGGAATGAGTGTCAAGTTCAACATCGCCTACAATAAATAACCCGGTGAGCTGTGCGTACCCGACCGGGTACCGGCTGAAGTAGCTCGCGAGCTACATAAATCACATTTTAACTCGCCGTCGTGAAAACTGATCAACTTACGCGCGATAGCACAACGTATCATTTTGCTATCTGACTTATTTACCCTGGCAAATCTGTGCCTCATACTGTTTTATTTTTTCGTTCATGTGGGCACTCGCGCAAATGATCGGGCGCCAATAATAATCGCAGACGTCAATGATAATCGCGCGAGGTACAAAGATTAACGTTGCCCGCGGACGAAGTCTGCCTCGCTTCCATAAGTCGTACGACGAAGCCTGCGACTGACAAAGAGCTCGCGGCCATTGGGATAACATTACAAGCCTACATCCGTCAAATAAATCATCAGGATTCTTTTTCTCTCTCCTGCTGAATATTCATGGCGATTATTCACCGGACGTTCGCATTTAGCTCGCGTATCCCGTGTCCCGTGTTTACCGCTTCGTACCGCGAATAATAAAGGAAAAATAGGGAGAGATCCGAGATTCGCGTTTGTTAGCCGCGCGCACTATGGCCGTTAAAATAATTATCTCGGTGAGTCTAGATGCCCAGATAGATAGTATCTATCGTCGGCGGATCGATTAATAACGCGGACACGAAGAGAACAACTTCCTCATGGTAGAAAGGTTCGCCACTCCATACTATACAGTCCTTGCGACTTTCCTTTAATACCACGTAACGCAACATGCAACGATGCTATTATTAAACACGGTGGCACATTACATGATGCACTGTTGATTATAAACAACTTGAAAATAATTCTCATCGACGGTAGAGATGAAAAGCAACTCCTTTGGAAGGCACTTCAGGAGAATAAGTCTTCCCATTAGTTAGAACAGTTAGAGCAATTCCCGGCAATTTCCCGAAACAAGTGAAAAAACGGAAAATTAACGATAAAGGATGGAAACATTATTTCGGCAGCTAACGGCTAACTGCCGGCTGCTATTGAAACGCGTTCGCACGCATTGTAATCAAGCGTACATAAAGCAGGCAACTTTAACCATTTAGGAAACAATAAAATATTTATAAAGATGTAGCTGACAAGGGGAACACGTGATCTTTAGCAAACCTCGTTGAAATTTGCATGACTGATCACGTGCTGCGATAATACTGTTTACAGTTTGCCACATTATTAATCGCACCATTGCTTTGCCAATGACCGTGAAATCTCCCGAGCTTCGTAATCGATCTACGTGTTCAATCAACTCGACCAATCTCAAGTCAAATAACAGCGATAAGAATCGAACGGATCTCATGAACACATACTTGCGTCTACCGTATTAAGTGCCATTCGATATCTCGGTCGATTATCAAGTTCGCCGACGGCGAACGCTCGAAACGAGCGTGGCATTGTGCTATAATGTTCGATTGCGAGTCATTGATGGATGATATCGTCGGAACAATGGCCGGAAGACTTGGCGAGGAACATTGCAGCAAGAGTTTCGCGCATTTTTCCCGCGGTGCCTCAGTATCGCCCCGCGGCTTCGGATAAATTCGCGAAAAGAAGAAGGAGGAGAAAAAAGCACAAAATGAGATCGAGCTCGCGTTTTTGCCGCGACGCGAACAACCGTGAGAACGATACAGGACTTTCAGGTAGAACTGAGCGAGAGAGCAATTGTGTTTAACGCACGGGTATTCTTTCCGCACAGGTCCGGTATTATTCCCACCTGGGCCACCACCCAACTCGGCTGACAGCAGTGGCGTCGTCGTCGGCGCGAGCGGATACGGATTCGTGCCACCCAGCGCCCCAGGTAATTCGTTGGGCAGATTCTGAGAATCGAACGAAATCACGATGCACCCGAAAGAGAGAAAGGCGCACGCGCAAAAAAAAAGAAAAAGAAAAAAAAACCGAAAAGAAAAGAAACGTTAGAAGGGATCAGCGAGCCTTCTCACGTGACCGGTCTCTTCTGCATGCGAGGCATCTCGAAGAACCGCGCCGAGACTAGGATATAGATGTAGATGGAAAGGGAAGGAAAAATTGCACACTTGTGATCACGCGATACCTCCTTCAACCCCTTCATCCCGCCTCCGCACACCTTCCACCCTCATCTGAGCACTCGACTTACAAGTATAGTAAGCGCACTATTTATTCTTGACAATTGTAAAATAACACGATACACGTCGATGATACACGCGTCCACCCCCTCCCCCGCGCGCCCCAGCACCTAGAATTCTAATTATGCGTGCATGTGCGGCACTATAGTAATAATAATAATTAATTAGTTGACGTTTATCGCGTTCTACAAGTTGCTCGACAAGTCACGCGCGACTTCACTGCGTGTGTCAACACTTTCCCGAGCCCGGAATTGGTATTACGAGACGAAGATTTGTCTATATTACGTGATTAACGTCCGGTATATAAAGAGTTTAAGTAGATTACTTGGATGAATCGTGAAAAATAAAATCACGATGCGAACGTAATCGTACGTAATATAGCAACCGCGCCGGCTCGTTGGCGATTTGAGCAAATTTCAGCTGCTGAAATCGCCTGTCTTGAAGTGTTAACACGACAAATACTCCACTCCATGCATTGTTCACGCCGCGCGAATCGCGACGAAATGTAGCATGTAGCGGAAAGATGAGCATGATTTTTCACCGCGAGCCACGCGACTGTTCGAGCGCTTCGTGCCTACGTAGTATAGCTAAGGGTGTTGCGATATTTACGAAAGTACACTGTAAATTAATAAAACTGGCAAGAGTAAGCGTCGCAAATTCGACGTACGCGCACACAAACGTTGTATACGAATGTTCACCCCCTCTTCATATTCCGTAACGGAAATCGGTCCGACGAGAGGAGACGAAATTAAGGGATAGAGCGAGGAAGCAAAGAGAAGGTAACACTGCCGTGGTAATTCCGACCACTCGTGCTTGCGAATATCGCGTCAGATTGGCAAACCGCAAAAGTTACAACATTTCTTCTCCGTTCGACCTTCGTCATTGCCTTCGCGCGAAGGTCGAGAGAGACTTCGACCATCGCGTTCGATCCTTGAATCACAGCAGCAGGTACACGTCGCTTTGCGATCGTGCTGAACGGTCGTGGGCGCGTCCACGTCGAGGACGACGGTCGCGCGTATCACCTCTCATTGCATCCTGCAGATAAAAACGCACGGCGTTACAGCGCTGTGTGCCGCTGTAATTGCTTAATATCCGCGAGCATGCCAAGCCTTTAACTCTCTTCCGACGTCTCGCTGCTCGCTGCCATTTACGAATCCACTCGCCTCGTCCGCGGATCGGGCGCGGATCGATCTCTCGAGCTCGTAAACCGCGAGACGGCGAGACGCGTAGCTAGCTAATACGTGGTACGCGGGTTCACCTTAGCCGCACCAGTAACGCACACCGCAGCATGCAACGTGACAGAAATGCACTAGCAGATAAGTAACACAATATCGCAGACCGCAGGTAAGTCTAAGAAAAAAAAAAAAGTGTGTTTAATGTCTATTGAGATACGGTTCTAATTGGACGCCATGAATGTAGCAGCGAATGTTCAATAAATGTTCCCTCCAGTTTACCCGTAATTACAGAGCGCTGGGCATGAGCCATTTTTTGTCTCTTTTCAATAACAGAGAGACTTTCGCTGGATCGTTATCTTATTAACCTTGTCAGCCGTATCCAACGAGCCGTTCGCCCGTCGGCCGTTTGCAATGAAATACAAGAGAACTCGAGGCGCGATATCGGACTCTATATATTTATAAATCGGCTCGAGTCCCCAAAAATGTTGCGGTATCGCGGAGCCGCGGGTATCCTTGCGCAATCGAATCCCCGATTTCCGCCACGAGATACGAAACAACGTCTCTTCCGGCAATTTAAGTGCGCTAGGCTTTCATTTCACGCGCCGTCCTTCGCACCTGTGCTCGCTCGACTGTTATCGAAATAGACTCATCAAGAAACATAACGAGTTACGGCGGAAGAGAGAGAGAGAGAGAGAGAGAGAGGAGGGGGGGAAGAGAGAAAAACGAGAAAAAAAGAAAGGAGAGAAATCGGTAGGAGAGAGAAAAGGAGTGCGATTGCGGTGGGACCTCGTATTTCCTTCTTCCGCGAAACAACCTGCAACCGCGGTTGGATATACCAGTTTTCTCGCGTGAAGATTCTTCAGCCTTGGAATACGCACGAACATCCGCAACGGGTCAGTGAAAGTGATTTTGTCGCGGCGCTACTGTTCGTGGCTGAAACTCGTTTACGCGTAACCTTACTTAAGTTACTCCACTGCGCGTAACAGGTGTTACGAGGTCGTCGACGACAAGGTTGCCTTTTTGGTCGAACGACGCGTTACAGCTGCTGTTGGACGGACAAAGACGGAGTGGCGGGAATCAACGATCGTTTCGTCCCGTCTCTAATAGCGTCGAGCGGGTCACGCACGGTCAAGTTCAATCGATTTTCTCGACCGTGCGCGAGTCGCGTCATTTCCTTTAATCGCGGAAAAAACCGTGAAATTATGATATCAAATAACGAAATTACAATTTTTTCGCTCTGAAGTATCTCTGAAGAAGAAAGTGTTTAGCCACGTTATAAAAACCGGTGCCGGATACCGATAACGGCATCCGGCAAGTAAATATAAATATCTTTTCGATGACGCATTTGCAGTTTTGGTCAGGGGAGTTCTCGCTTCTCTTTGTCCTTATAAATTGGCTTTTTCTTATTTTTCAATTTCAATCCCGTGATATACTTTCTTATTTGTTTTATTTTTTCCCAGTTAACACGTTGACTGCCACGGAATTTTTCACGATTCCGGTCTAAAGAGCCAATTTGATTTAATCATGTTATATTATTAAAAACTTTAATAATAGTACATAGTAATAATCAAAAAGCTTGAAAAATGTTTTTTTAAAAAAAAAAAACATTTTTTATTCTCTTTCCTGAGGCCATTTATTCATATTTACACTGTTATGCTACGAGTTTCCTCGTAGCTGTACAAATGTGGCAAGTAATGAAGGGACGAGATAACTCGTAGTAGGCGTCCTGGGCAAGTAAACAACCTACGAGATATCTCGTAATTGGCAGTCAACGTGTTAATTCATCCCGAAATTTTTCTCTCTCTTTTTCGACGTAAACGAAAGTCGACAGATACACAGCTGATGTATGGCAAGTCTAAAGTAGACAGGATACCTTGTCAATTGGCGAAATTATATAAGGTGTACATGCAATATCGTTGAAAAATTTTGCCGCAACGAACGTACACCCGCTCGAGCAGCGGGAACGCTCGGTTGGAGAAACTAAATTCGATATTGTAATAGTAAGAGCGTAAAAGTACGACAGATGTTGCGACATCGAGAAAAGAGCGAGAGCGGCGATCACGATTTTGGTCACGGGTTTGTTAGCAGTCTTTAGGCAGATCGATGCCCCTCGAGAATGTCAGGTGGCCACCAGTGCTCATAATTATCGATCGACAGTAGTGCGATTTTTGCGATTAGGCAACTTGTTGCGCGTCTGTGAAATTCAGCATAAGAAACGCAGAATAGAACCGTAGCCGCGCGCGAGTACGTGAGCACGCTGATATAATCAGCTCGACGCAATAAAGCTTTGTTCTCATAAACATGTTCCCTCGGCAAATAATCATCCAGTTTAGCAAATCTAGTTTAGGCAAAGATTCATAAATTATATTTGCTAAGAGATTTACCATTTCACAAATTATTCACTGTGCACTATTGTTGCACAAAGCGGTTAGAAAATTACGGAATCTGCGGTGAAGGAGTGATTTTTCACGAAGAGAAAAATTGGCAAAGAATTTTGGAGATCAGCAATCAAGATTACTCAGTGCAAAATCAGTAAAGGAAAATTCAGTAAAAGGAAATATTTTCGACAGGTTTTTGCTCAATCTTTCAGAGATAATGCTGACAGATAAACAACAAGCGCAGCGCTTTCATCTTCCAAATTATCTCGGTTCGCGCAATCTGTTGAAAAATTCAGCGATACACTTGCAGCCGTTTCTTCACGAAGAATCATCTGCTCACACCATCGACTGGTATCACGATTTACCGAGCATTCTGTACACAGTTAACGGGAAGCGATATTAAAACTCGCGTACGACGCGAAAGAAGTGAATGGCAGGCGAATAAATTCTCCCCGTAGGAACACGCGGTGGATATCGAGGGAAAGCCCGTGCATCTCACGCTTTACAACATTTTGCACTCGTTAATGCGCGCAACGCGACGTGAGAGAAAGAGAGAACGTAAATCTCAGCGGCAACCGGCGCGTGATAACATCGTAGAGCGTTAAGCGCGAGACGATGAACATCGGACGAGTTACGGGCGAGAACGCAAAAGCAGGGCCCGAGATTGTAGCTAAGAGCTAAGATGATCGCTGTTTTATCAGGATAATTTTGTAAATTGATCCACTCATTTCGGCGGACAAGGAGTGCAAAATATAATTTAATTATCTGGCAGGAAATGAGAGCGCTTACGGCGCTGGAAGTTCGTGTCTCAAGGAGATTACGAATAAAATTGTAGAGAACAAGATATTGACGCAAACCGCGAGAGCAATTTCCGCTTGACGAGCAGCCTGCTTTTCCTTCTAAATCTCGAGAGATGCACTCGTGATAAGTGCCGCGAACACAGCTTGTCGCTTTAACCTACGCTGCCGTTCAATTAAAAACGATCGTATCTTGCGGCCGATAACAAGGCGTCGTAAATTTTGCGCGGCTAAAACGCAAAGCTGGCAACATTCCGGGACAAACGGCCGTTCGTTCCCCTTAATAGTCATTAAACCCGACGATCCGCATTTAATTACGCGACACGCAAAAACCGGTGACCCCTCCGGACGTCCTTGACGGAAATTTATCTCGGGGTTGAAAGGAGGGCGCGAAAAACGAATTTTCCCCAGAACTCGTCTTCGCGGTATATTCCCCGCGGGAGCAAACTCGTAACTTAACGGATATCTCCGTTAAATACCTTTTCACGGGACATTAATTTGCCACTTGGACTTGGAGCCAAGGTGTCTCGCGCAACCGCGTAAAAAGTTTACAGTGACTAGCGCGATATAAAAAATTGCGTTCCGGTACATTTGATTAACCGAACGCGGACCGTATCGATACCGGCGAGGAGGATTGTCGGGACACACTGTCGCACGTGCAATTTACTGACCCGATGTCGCTTTGTGTCGTTAATTGTCGACATTTGCAGCCTTCTTTCCGCACGACGATTACACCTTTCTCTCATAACTATCTCAACCAATCTTTCGGCAACGAGTAAACTGCCTAACCTAAACCCAACAAGCGAGTGAAAGTTACAAATCACGCGCACGCGACTAACGTAATAATATATAACGTAACAAGTATAATATATAATTTTAACATAACAAACCGCGCTACATGGTGGCTCGGTGAGACGTAAAAAATACAGGTTGCACGGTTGCAAAATCCACGCTTCGATCGCTCCGAGCGTTTTCAAGCCGAGCGTTCGCTCGCCGACGATTATTTTAGCTGCCCGCTGCTGCTCATCGTCGGGCGGTTCTCGCGTTTAAATTGGCTATAATTAGAGCAGGCGAAACCCTTTCGGGTCTAAATAGCCCTAATGGCTTCCATTCGGAGCCCCTCCCCCTCCCCCCCGTTCATCTCGTGGTCGACTTTATTATCGACGTCACGCACGATCTCGCGTGCTAAAGCACACGCATGTCTCGTGAGAGCGAGAGTGCAGCAGCATAGGGGAGCAGAAAGCGAGCACTTACTAATCAAAGGGTGGAGACGAGAAGGGGGGATGAGGTCAGTGCCACATCGTGGCGGGTGAGACAAGGTGACGAGGGTCTTGTAATTAGCAGCTTTGAAGTGGTATCACCCTCGCTACTCATTACCGCGACGCTCAGGTGTTCTGGATATTAGCGCTTCAAACGAGACTTTCGGCGACGCCGGCAATCGCAGATGAAAATCACACGGACCGTTGGTCGGATCTCGCTCGCGCTGATGAACCCGGGAATTCCCGACGGCGAGTGCTAGTTACGCGAGGAAATTTTCGTCGCGCGGGAGGGGGGAGGGCGAAGGAGAGATACGAATGGAGAGAAAGAAGAGAGAGGGATGAAAATTTGGTCGTGCAAGGGAAATCGAGAAAGTTTGAAAGCGATCTTATCGCGAGCCGATGATGAAGAATCTGCCGGAATCTGTCGGCGTAAGCATTCGATTCAATGGAAATGCAGGCGGCTGGAAATGCGGGAATTAATCTTCCTCGCTCGGTTCGGCCGCGATCCCGAGAATGAGATGGACGATAAACGAGTCTAAAATAGTCCTAATGTCCCCCCTGTCCTGGTGTAAACCCGCTGTGAACTTAAGAATGACTTGCGAACCCTATTCTCATCGCGTGAGAAATTTGTAGCGCGCGAGGAAGGAAGTAAAATTTATGTAAAATCGTTCGTCGTCGTCACGGCACTTTTCGACAAGCGGATGCCAAGAAAATGTTCAGATCTCAAGCGCGAACCTCTCTTTGTTGCAGGTTACATCACTTACTTCTACTATTAAACGTCGACGACCGCGAGACAGCAAAAAGACGATGACGACAGAAAAATGGAGGAAAAGAAAGGGGAGAATGGAGGTCAAGGTTTCGGACGTCACGGCTCGTAAACTCTCATCCGCCGAAAATTGTATTACGGCGGATGTATTACAAATTAGCATTACGTTATCGGTGCACGGCAATAACTGTTATTCGAGCAGGAACGAGCCGTAATGCGTGTCAAGTAGTTTTCGCATACAATCGGTTTGAACTGTGTGTGTGTGTGTATGTGTGTGTGTGTGTGTGTGTGTGTGTGTAATACATTTATCTTTCGCGGATTTTACGATGAGGCCTGGATAAAGTTCACGAAAGTTCGAAGGAAACAACAAGAGGGAATATCATCGAGGCGACGCACGTGTGAATTAAAGATCGCGAGGATGCTCTTTGAAAGATTCGTTCCTACATAGCGTAGTAAATTAAGCGTACAAAATTAACACGAACGGCGAAAGCCGCAGCAGCGCAGAAACGAGAAACTCGTGTTTCCTTGTCTCCTCCTCGGGGAAAGACTACAACTAGTGTGTTTCGAAAGCAACCTGATATCAACGGAATTAACGGCGGTAACTAAATGCCGGCCGTATTGAAAATGATATTACGCCACTTATCTGGATATCCAACGCTTCGATAATCTCGCGCAACGGCATCAAGAACGTCCGTTATCTGCGTAATGGAGTCCACGAAAGTACAAGTCGTATTTTATGGTGCATTACTACGGGTATACTTGCGCCTTCGCGTGGTCTGGCGGCCACAACGCCAAGGTGTGTATAATTAGTAGCTGGTGGAAAGCCGCTCTCCGTGCGACACAGTGCGATCCTAGAAGCTAACAAAAGCGACCGGAGACATGAATGGCGATTCGCTCGGCGCTCGTGATATCCGCTTATGAAACGCGAGACCGGCGGCGAGCAGGCGGGTCCGCGCGCTCCGTTAGACCCATAAAATAATTAAACACGGGGGGGGGAGGGGGGAGGAGGGGGCGGTGCGCGTTTTACCGTCCGGTAAGTTATTTATTGCCGCCGCGACGGCGATTTAATTAGGTGTAGATAGCCGTTTTAGGTGGGCGACAGTATTTCCGCCCGTAGCGATCCGATTCATGTTCGGGAGTGTTTACCACGGTGCCGCGTGTATCTCGGCGCAGCTGAACAAATTACGTATATACAGTACAGTTGCATGTAAATACACGGTAAATTGCGAGTAAGAGGGTAGATAGATCGCGTGGATCAATAGAGAGAGAGAGAGGGAGGAGGGCACGGCCGTTGGAAGTGCCGCAACGCTTTCGTTTCCGTGCAATTTGGTCATGGTTCTTTAAACGCGGACAACGCTCTACGCATCGGTAACGCTCTTATCGCCCGGCTTCTCGGCTAATCGATTCCGCGATCACACGCGTACTAGCGAAAAGTATGGAAATTCGCGGCTTCATCGATCCGTAGCTCGACATCGATCGTAGGCTCAACAGATAGAAGAGAAAGAGAGTGAAAGAGAGATTGACAAGAACGCATTCACATCCCGGAGGCGATCTTATCATCATTTTCGCACACGTGTCTATGATCTATCTCTTATCTATGCTTATGAAACATGTAAATATCGCACAATTTATAAAAGCAAAATAAAGCTGATGCGTGCTCATCATCATATTATGATTTTTATCTTGCATCTTTCCAGCTTATGTTCAATCTCGTTTAAGCTCGTCGCTAAGAACGACGACGAAGAATATTTCACGAGGAAGAATTCGCAAGACCCCGTTGCGAAATTAAATTTTTATCACGACGAAAGTACCTACCCGGTACTTTTAGCTGCGCTCATGAAACGTAGATATCCCGGAGCAGCATTGAAAACCTTTCGTTCGCACAACGAGACCTTGCCCAAGAATGAAATTTGCCAATATAGAATGATAAACACGACAGACAGCGCTCTTATCCGCGACGAAATCTTCGGTGCACGACGCTCGCACGACGATAATTACCGTCGGGCGCTATTATACGAGCCAGTGTATTGGTAATTACGAAAGTTTCCTGCAGTCGTTCGAACGCGCTCGGAATATTCAAACACACACGTACGTCCGCCGACTGCGCGTAAACTCTCACTCGATCTTTGCTAGCGGAGAAACGGTGTCTTGTAATATGTAACGAAAGTCCAGTCCGCTGTCGTGCATTAATAATCGCAAGGAATCGCGCAGATATATCGGCGTGTGACAACGTGGGTGTGCGCGCGGAGAAAAGCAAGTGGAATATTATCCACGTAGATAAAAACTAAACTAGCTTGTGTCTCAATTGCACCACTGTATTTCCTAGTTCTGTTTCTTATTTCTCGAGCTACGTTTAGATTTGAAGTGCGCGCTCAATTGTATACGTGTAAATACTTCATCGCTCCAAAGCTTCGAAAACTCCGATATACTTACAACTACGGCAATCACCGCTGTCTGCAGTTGCAAAACCGGTTTTGCTCCAATCGCACGAGCTACGCAAATTATACAAATTAAATCGACTCTATTGCTTACATTAAGAATAATTGGCAAATCGGCCCGCGATGATAACGCGATTGGCGGCCAACAGTAGGTATGAATAAATATGCGAGAGATAATTGCAATATGCGAGAAATTAGCCGAGTCAGGAATGATGAAAACGCCAAACTATACAGGCGAGTGATCTCTGACAATTCTCCATGGTGGAAATACTTCATTCTAACTACACTTTCTATACTACCTTGCAATTCCTCTCTCGGATTCTTTCTCCTTTGTCTCAACCGATGTAACAACGCAAAGTTGTTCTCCAATCATAGTTGGGCCAAAGAGAAAAAAGAAAACAGACAAAAATCGGAATTATATCTGTATACATTACATCCGCCTGACTTCGAATCGCGAACTTCCGCTCGGCGAGCATGTTTTCACGCGTGATTCGTCGATCATTTCGAAGTGAAAGCATTCCGGAACAAGCGGGAGTCCAAGCATCCGTGTAGGATAACCGCATAAAAATAGTTTATTATTCACGCATTCATGATTCGCACACGAGGTATGTCTTTACTCTCAGAGGCCCTCTGACGGAGAGATCGCTTAGGCGAAAAATCAGCGCCACCGTCATCGCTGCAGCGTCATTGCTGCGCAGTAAAACCGGTAGGGTATCCCGTTTAAGGATCAAGCGGCGTGAGATTCGTCGCGACCTGCGTTACGACACCGCGGAATCTGCGGTTGCACGATTCGCGAATGTATCGTATATCCGCGTGACGATAAGGATCCGCTAAGGATCCGCTGAGAGTGCTCGTAGTTCGCTCCGGAGCGAAGCCACGCGCGTTAGACGGACTGGAGGAGTTCCGAGAAAGCGAGTACAGAAAGTTAATACCTCGTTTGACACTGGCGTTTCTAAATTGAGCAATTCGGGGAGCATAAAAACGTCTTATTGAAATACAACGATCTTAATCATCGTCCAATCGAGAGATGGCGATGTGTCATTAATCGACTGTGAGTCTGTGAGTCTGCGTGATTATATTGATGCCTTAATAGTGAATGCCTCAATGTGAATCGCGGCGCTTGCAACGTGGAGAGAGAGAGAGAGAGAGAGAGAGAGAGAGAGATTTTTTCAGGTAGAGCGACTTGTCGTTTTAATGTTTCAAGTAAATATAATGCCTTGTGCATAAACCGGGTTAGGTTAGGTTAGGTTACTTTCGCTGCATTATATCGTGTTGCTCTTGATAAAAAAGAAAACCATCGGCATTAATGGCCGCAGATATGAGTATGCAGAAACGCCGGATTCACGACGTGATAATGCTTAGTTAATATTAATGAAGCTGCGGCTGTAATCCGCTTTACGGGACACGCGTTGAAAAATGTAGAACATCAATCCCGCTCGCGTGTAGAGAGCGCGAAGATGCGACACGAGGAGGAGCGTGGCAGGGAAAGTCTCCTCGCAGCACTTAGCCGATTTCCGTTCTGTTCGCCGCGCGAGGAAGACGATGTCCCTGTCAGTTCGGTACAAATCGGTGCCACTCTCCACTTCCGTCACGAGAAAATGTCATGCTCGCGCGCCACTTTTGCCTCTCCTCGAGTATCGGGCACTTCCAGTCTGCTGAACAAATGTTCAATCGATTATCGAGCGAGTGTCTCGTTGCAGTCTCGCCTCGCGCATCGCGTTTATCGAGTAGCTGTCGAGTTTACATCGCGGAGAATTTCTAAAAGCCCGAGATCCGCATTTCACTCTTTCCAGGCGTTATTATATTCCATGCGGTAACTATGCATTACATCGCGATGGCTTGCGCGTCAATCCGGACGGAAGCCTCGTTTTCAATGAAGGTACGGGCACCCGACAATCGATATTTATCGTCGGTGTCTGTCGCAAACGCGAGAAACACCGCGTCTTCCTGATTATACTTCAAAAAAAAAAAAAAAAAAAAAAATCAATATTCGTGGTTGAAATTTGATTTATCGTACAAATTGCTCCATCGTCAATCTTGAAGGTCTTACAAACAGGTCTCGTTGTAAAATTCTCTCATTAAAGATATATCCGTCCACAAATGTATGCAAATGTCCTTTGTCATATGACCAACGTCCACCCACATTTATCTACCATCTGATTATCAAAATCAAAATTAAAAAATCGAATTTTACAATTGATTATATATATATATATATATACACCATATATATCTTGCCAACTTTATTAACGTAAAGATTTAATTTATTTATCTTGATAATTTTCGTAATTTTTGCGACGCCTGATATTTCGAGTTAATAACGGCCAAACAGAAAACCGTCAACACGACAAATCAAATAACATGTTACATCGCCATAATCGAAATTTCTCGATTTACACCGTGCGACAGGATGCACTAGTTTTGCATGTGCACCAAGATAACATTAATAACTCAATCATACAGCGTGCCCGGAGGTGGAATTCACACGCTGCAGTTGCAACATTGTCGTTTCTCGCCGCAGAAATCTGTTCCGACAGATCTTGTGGTGCGTACCTTGATATCATTATGTGTTACTCTCTGAGCGAGTACTACTCGCTCAGGAGGTAATCACGTCATTTTCCTCATAAACCCCTCATTATTTTCCCATAAGAAGTTGCGCAAGAATTTGTCCGGTATAGTCGGACTAATCATCCTTTGACCGCGAGACTAATACATAACATCACGTCATGTAAGAGGCTTTTAATTAGCGCTACCGCGAACGCGACGCTCCTACGTGACGCTCCTTTCCTAGTTGTTCTTTATTTGTCCCCTCCCGTCTCCCTCCCTGTCGGATTTTTCTCACAGTCGCGTTAGAAATCGTGTACGCGTGGCGTCTAGGTACGACCACAAAATCGGACACTCCGCGATTTATTACAACAACAAAAGGACGATGAGTACAGGCTTTCGCGTGAGATGTATGTGAATGTTGCTTAAAAACAGGGCGGTTAGAAAGTGTGCCATGCGCTTATAAATTAGCTGATAATGTTCAAAATTACACTTATTTCCTCGTGTAATGTTGTTACGATTTACGACGGCATATTTTTCGAGCATCTCCTCGCGCCCGTTACTCGATCAGACTGATCTCAACCGTCGTCTTTCACTTTGTTTCTCCCGCCAACGTAATCTACTTAGTGAAATTAGCTTGTATTAATTAATATTGTCGAGGTAAAATATGGATATTTTATGGAATGGAATGACGTCGCGAAAACTATTTATGACGTTTACTTAATAACCAGCGCAAAACATACGAAGATACACTCAAAGATAAGAAGCGAATCTTATTTTACGTACAGAACCGTTTCCGCGAAATTCACCACAGATGAAGGCTCGCGGTTCGCTTTTTCTCGCACGCATTTCGCTCGCTGGCTGTTCAGCGGCTGATCAGCGCGAATCGTTCGCGGCTCGCGTTAGTACCGACTGGGATTTCTCTCATTGCCTTCGCCAGTTGTGTTCCTTCTCGTTTTCTTTTTTCCGCGACACCCATTGCAACGCGGCTCCCAGCGCGGCTGGCAATAAATATACGCCGCAACCTCCCAATTTTCGCAACGAACAGGCGAATGACGGATATCGGCGCACGCGCGGTTTACTTGTCTCTTTTTTTCGCGGGCAGTCCTTCGCCGCGCATTGTGCAACGTCGAAATAACGCGCCGCTCAGCTACGTACAGCGACTTGGAGCGCTATCTCGTTCTTACCGGTGTAGTCGTCTATTAGAGCGCGTCAGGGCGCAGCGTTCGAAAGCGCAGCGATCGACCGGTATCACGAGCAGATAATCCGCCGTGCCGTTAGTAGAATAGATTTCCGTAATCGTACGATCGCGCTCGAGCCGCTCGTTGGAACGTTTCAATGCTCAATGTACCCCAGATATCTGAATTCTCTCTCGTGTGTGCATGCCACCTGTCTGGGTTCTTCGACAAAGTCGCGATTCAAAGATTCAAAAGTCCGAGGAACTCGCCGTTCGACTCGCTTAGCGCGTCTCAACAATGCGATTTCGTCACTTTATTTCGAACGAATTGTTTCGCCGGGCCGTGTTCGCGCTGGCTCCTCGAGGAGAAATTTTTCTCCATTTTCTCAACATTATGTCTCGCATCTAATTAAAGCAGAACAAACCGCCCGAATTGTACTCTTTGATATTTTACGCGCATCAGACAGACAAAAGGCGGCAGTTTGAATAATCATGCCGTCCAATTACT